TTAAATGGCAAACTAATAGATTTTGGATAACTACTAAATTTTGAATAAAATTCTAATTACAAAAGTTTAATTCTTATTTTGAAAAATGGTATATATAAAAAACAATTGATTCAAAACTCAATTGGAAGAATATTTTCAAAGTTAGATTTATTGTATTTCTAAAAAATAAATAAAATGAAAGGCCTCATTTATGTTTAAAAAGGAAATACATAATTTGTTGGCAATTTTTTTAAATAATCTTTTTAAACAATCTTTTAATGTCTTTAGTCATAAATTATTTAAAATTTTAATTCAAACATTAAAATTCAATCATTTTTAGTGGATGAGTAAACTGCGGCTTATATTATTTAACATGCTTAGGGGCATTTTTGGAATAACAAAAAAAGTGTAACATCACATGGTTGGCACATGTTTTTGGTGGGGTAATTTTGTCACTAATTTTTTTTTTGCCAATGCAAGTGAGCAACACGTGCTACTTTAACGTCCCAAACTAATAGAATTGGGACAATATGATAATTTTGTAATAGTGTTGGGATTTTTAGAAACAGATTAGAGTTTTATGATAAAAAATTAAAAATAATTTTATGATTTTGCCCTTAAAATTAAAATGTTTGATTTAAGTTCATCAGTTCTGTATATATATGTGTAGATTGAGAAAATTAAGAAAAGTCACAAAGCCTTTACTACTACAATTTTAAGACATACAGTTCTGTTATAAGGTTAATTGAATACCCTTTTAAAATATTTGAAAAAGAAAAATTGCATATTATTTTCATAAAAATTTATTTTAAGGGCAATAACCTCAAATTTCACTAACTTTATGTGACCATTAAGTGTATCTTGAAATTATTATTATTATTATTTTTTTAATTTATCTTGAATTTTTTCAATGGGACTTGAGTGTATAAAACAACTTTGAATTATGAAATTTTCTTGCATGGGTAACATATACAAGGTGGTGATACTCAATTTTTATTATAACTTGTAGGTTTTTTTTGGTGCAATTAACTTAAGGAAAAAGCTAACCTTAGGCCGTATAAGTAGGGCACTCATTCTGATGTTGATATGAATCAATAACAACATGACATATGTTAAAAAAAAATTAAAAAATCAAAATAAAATCATTCTGATCTTTTCACGGGTCATCCAAAAAAGAAGAGGATTTTCTCTCACGCGTGTGTGAGATCTGGTAGCGAGCTCTCCCTCTATTTAACTCATGATTCCTTCTCTCTCCCCACCAACAGACCTCCACCACCTCTACTGCTTGCCACCTCCTCCATTCCCAAATCATAATGTTTTACATCTAATCTTTAGAAATGATTCAAGCAACCAATTAATAAATATGCATAACTTTAGTGGCATTCAAAATTTTAAGATTTATCACTACCTGTTGCAATCTGAAGCCAAATTGATTTCCTTAAACTTCATTGATAATTGGAGTCTTAAATTGTGGTTAATTTACCATGTTTAGACTAATTGTTTAGGTTTTTGTGTAACGGATTGCAATATGAAGGGTTTGGAATAAAAAATATCAAACGTATGAAGGAAAAAAAATTCTTTCATGAATCGCAAAAAGATCAAAATAAATTTTATTAATTATTTTAAAAAGTTTTTGACACATGTCATATTTTTATTGATCCATGTCAGCATCAGAAAGACATTCCTACTTGTGCAGCCTGAGGCCAGCATTGTTCTTAACTTAATACCATGTGATTTTTATGTGTAACTTTTTGTTGTTTTTTAACCACATGCAATGCTTAACCTCCTACTTTATAAGGTGGAAGAGATATAATCTCACTCTGATTTACAAAAGGACAATATTTGTCTACTCACTGGTGAATAGAAAACTTATACTCACCACGTATATAGCGCAATACTAAATTGACAAGTGTATTTATATTTAAAATAATTAAACATAATTAATTTGATAGTTATCCGAGTTAAACTCAAATTATTCCTAAATTGACAAGTGTATTTATATTTAAAATAATTAAACATAATTAATTTGATAGTTATCCGAGTTAAACTCAAATTATTCCGAATCAAATTCTAATTCTCTCTCCTCTCTCTCATGTTAATCTTATCCGTTCTGTCCCTCTCCCTCTCCTTCTCCCTCTCCCTCTCTGATATTTTTAGAGAGAGAAACTCGTGTCTCCAAAATTTCAAAAGCATCCTTTTTACATAGATGGAACCACCACACCTTTACACACCTTCCCCAACTTAGATCTCTCAACCCTTACCAATTCAATCAGATCAACTGATTAGGGTATAATAGTAATATCAAGCACCATCAAACATAGAAAGACTGAATTGAAGAACATCCATTGTAACAACGAAAAAAAAATTGTCGATCAAATATATCACATCTGAAGGAAAAAAGTCAAAGACACTCCTCATATGGAGTCTTGATAAATTAGATGTTTCTCTAGAATACGAGGATGACTACTTCGCCAATGTTATGTATGAAGCTATTTCCGAGGCCTATATTACATGCATCATGTTACCATACAATTTGACAGACTTGTACGATACCTATCCATAGGATCTAGAGACGGACTTTAATATAGTTTAAAAACCATAGATAGGTCAGATTAGCAAAGAATTTGCCGAGAAAGCACGACGAAAAATTTTTATATCAATCAGTGCAATACACATGTACACCATACACGATCATATTCTTATATGTCCTCAAAATTAAAAATATATATATATATATATATATATATATATAAGAATATGTCCTCAAAATTAAAATATAAATATATATAAATATATAAGAATATGATCGTGTATATATATAATTTTTTTATTTCAATTTCTACAAGAAAAACCCTAAGCCTTAGCCATGGCTCGTATACTAATTCTCCGGAGACATGAGTTTCTCTCCCTAAAAATATGAGCGAGAGAGAGGGGGAGAGGGAGAGAACGGATAAGATTAGGCGTGAGAAAGAGGGAGAGGAGAGAGAAGAAAGAAGTGTGAGAAAGAGGGAGAGGAGAGAGAAGAAAGGGGGAGAGGAGAGGTGGGGAGAGAGAATTATAATTTGATTCGGATTAATTTGGGTTTAATCCGGATAGCTATCAAATTATTTATTTTTAATTATTTTAAATGTAAGTACACTTGTCAGTTTAGCATTGCGTTACATACGTGGTGAGTATAAGTTTCCTACCACCGGTGAGTAGACAAGTATTGTTTAATCAAATTATTTATTTTTAATCATTTTAAATGTAAGTACACTTGTCAGTATAATATTAGGCCATAGTGAGTATAAGTTTCTTATTCACAAGTGAGTAGGTAAGTATTGTCCTTTACAAACAAGTATTTTTCCTTTACAAAATACCACTAGTATTTATGTCAAGAAGGAAATGAACTGACCGCCTATTACCAGATACATATGAACACTGAAATGAGTCACTTTCTTTGCACATAAATTACCACTACCCATACATACAATCACATTGTTTTAATTTCTGAACTGTTCTAAATTCCAGTTGGCTCTGGTGATGCATGAGTGCATGTATTTACAGATTCTATCCTAGTAAAACTGAAAATTGTAGTTTAATTCTGATATTGTCCATCCTCGGCGGTGCGCGATCGAGCTTTTAAAATCAGAATGCCCAAAACCTTGAAGCTGCAAAACCATATAATACAACTGCAACAAGGACACCAAGCACAATGTTGAATAACTAGAAGTTAGCAAGCAACTCGCCTCGGACCTTGAATGACACGAGATCTGGTAAAATGCAAGGGGGCAAATTGTTGACTTACTTGCCTACTTTTATACCACAGAGGGGTATTGTGTTCACTTGGTGAAATGAATTTTTTTGCACTTTTGTCTATATATTAACGGGGAATGAAATAAAAATTCTAAGATTATCTGGCTTTAAAATAAGAATAATTAGTCAAAATTAATATTCAATAATTCAATCACAGATAAGGCATATAAATAATCAAACGTGTATATATATATATATATATATATATATATATATATATATATAAATTAATCAATATATTTAGATTAAAGTTTAATTTATCATCAGAATCAAAGCAAATATACCTGCAAAAAAAAAAAAAAAAAAAAAAAAAAGAAAAAAAAGAAAAAGAAAAGAAAATTGAAGCAAATGTAACAAAGGAAAATAATTACAAAATTTAATTATAGCTTTCTTCGTCTAAAAACAAAATGTAAATAGTTGACAAAGAAAAGGTTGAGAATTCGAATCCAATGTTGCGAACATTGCGTGTCCGTTTTAACTTCCAAGGAATTCATTTGCTCACACACACACACGCACAAAACACACACACACGCACAAAACTAAAAATTACTATCTATCCAACTTGTGATTGAACTAGTGATACATAAACATCAGTCACTTTATGGATCTATATTATACATATAACCGACACATAATGGTGATGATAAATTTTGTAATTTTTACTACTGTTTTATACAAAATTATTACAAGATCAATAATCATCCTAAGAAGAATTAAAGAGAGAGAATTTTAGCTTTTGCATAAGTATAAATCCAAGTAGCTTTTGCACAAGCAAATGTACAAAATAAAAGTTCTTTTAAGTTGTTTAACAATAATTAAAATGACATTTATATTGAACCAGCAAAGTGACCTAATTAGATTTATAGAAGACTAGAGCCCATCTGGTTAGATTCCCCAATCTCTAAAATAAATAATAAATAAATTATGTTATATAGAATGAAAATATAAACCGATTAAACCACCTGAATTCCATTTATTAGTAGTTCATTTTTAACATTTTTAATGCATTTGACTTATTTAGTTGGAGAGTATTTTTCTCTCCATAAATTCAATGATTGTTACATGTAATAAAAATCGATCGACAAGTTTATCTTTTTCCAATGATTAATCAGATTAACAAAAACACAAGGCTAGTCTCTGTGGTAAAGGGCCAAACATCGTTGTGTCCTTGCCATTAAGCATAGAGAGCAACGCTTTATAGAAGCAAAAGATTTTCAACAATCATGAACTCCGAAATCTCAATTTATCTCTCTTGATAAAGGAAAATAATTCGTGGTTCAGAACCAGATTAAAAATCTCATATACATTCTCATACGTTAAATTGTTTCCAATGCGGAAAAAAATATATATAAAAAAAAAATTGCATACTACGTAGCTCAGTTGAAAATTTCAGCACGGAAAGCAACCATGCTCTGAATCTACCAAAAGTGAAACTAACAACCACTAGCCCCTCTCGGTTCCTCTCTCTTCTTTACCTAATTCTCGCGCCTGGAGTTCCTCTTACGAGGAGCAGCTGTAGTGTCGTCCTTGTTTTTCTGCTCTTCCTTCTTTTCGCCACTTCCTTGATTGTTGGAAGCCTCAGCTCCTGTGTTTTTTGTCTGGGCGCTGACATTTGCCTACACACAGGAGATTGACCATGTAATAACCCTAAATTTAAATAACTGCACATCCTCCTCCACAAGTTTTCAAAGAAGGAAAAACAGCGCAAGTTAAAGAGGGTACTAAAACTTACTGGCTTCTTCCCACCAAAAATGATCTTCCCGAGAACTGTGAAGATAACCACTATGATGGAGACTACGATGCCAATTGTAAGGTTTGGTTGTTTCTCTGCCTGTTCAATGATATCCTGCAAGACAAAAGTCATAGTGGGAGGATATAAGCAAGCACCTATGAAGTCCTATGTAAAGATCATGACATCAAAATAGCCTTTTTTATTTTTTTTTATTTTTAAAACATAAAAGGGACTGATAAGAATAAGTTTGAAAGAGAGAACTCACCAAAATTTTAAGCTTGTGTGCACTAAGAAAAGGGACGTCTGCAATCTTGTAGAGGACATCAGATACTGCCTTCTACAATAATTAACCAAAAGGCATAGGTTATAGAATAACAATAATAAAACATCAGCCGAAGAGAGGGAAAATATATATATATATATATATATATGTATGTATGTATATATATATATATATGTATGTATATTACCTGGAAGTTTTTGAGACCATCGGAACCACCTGCACCTGCTCCTTCAGCTTTTAGTTTCTCCTCCTCAACTGTGAATTTCGGTTTCCATGTGGTCTCCCTGTAAGATTTCGCTACTTTTTCGTTACTAGCTATTAAGATGTTATCAAACAGTATGCCATCCTGCATTGTCCAAATCTCAATGCCAATAGCAGCAATAGGCTCAAAGTCAGGTCTGTCAAGTTCAAAGTGGTTGGGGTTTGGAATTTGCTGTGGCCTCCAAACACCCTTGTAATCAGGGTTGTCAATAAGTGGGGCATGCCATTTCCCCTTGTAATCGGGATTCTTCTTCATTGGCCTCTTCCACTCACCGCAGCCAGGGGCAGTCTCGCATTTTGGGTTATCAATTTTTGGTGCTTCCCACTCACCATCCTCCTCGTCATCCCAATCTTCTGGTTTTGTAGCATCAGGATCATCAATCTCTCCAGGCTCATCATCTAACCATCCCTCAGGTTTTACAGCTTCCTCATCTTCAATTTCAATGGGTGCATCCTCATCCCAGTCATCTGGTTTTACTGCATCTGGATCCTGGATTTTCTCCCTCTCATCCCAGTCCTCAGGCCTGTTATCGTCTGGATCAGGAATCGTCTTGTCAGGAATAAGTGCTGGCTCGAAATCGCTGGAATCAAGGAAATTAGCCTTCCTCCTCTCGTCCCCATCAATCAGGATTTTCAACTCATTAGCAGGTCCCAGAATAGCAGTATAAACATGGGTTACTTTGTCCAATGGCACAGAGGGTGGGAACTTGAGATTGTGTTCAACGTATTCCCCACTCTTGGGATTCCTATGCTTGAGAATAAAGTGAACCCTGTCTGTGGCCCCACATTTATCAGGTCCAAACATTATAGAGTAGGGGGACTCATTGCTGAACTCCTTGGATGACCACCCAGCTTCCTGAGGTCGCAGATATTTCAGATAAGCACCACCACATTCAAGTCCATTTTGAAAACGAGTTTCAAACTGAAGGACAGTAGTTCCATCCTTGAGATTCACAGGCTCATCAAGCTCTTTCACAATTGCATATTTCCTGGCATTCTCGCTCACAAGAAGCCCATAGTCATCATGTCCCTCACTCTTCTCATGTTCCCATACACCTATAATAATAATAAAAAAATAAAAAATAAAAAATAGAAAGATAAGTAAATTAGCCACTTAACAAATTTATTGCTGAAACATGAAAGCGTTTGCAAAACAGCCATTTATGTCTATGGACTTCCACGGCATATTGTCATCCTCAACTCAGTTTATTTTTTTCTACAATTAAATGTCACAGAAAGATATAGTCTGTGGCTGCATTTTTAACATTTGATGACAAAGATCATAAATCATTTTCTACTTCACAAAAAGGAAAATTCTAATCTATTGTACTTCCATGAGAAGGATGGATGGATTGGTCACTTAAAGTTGTGATTTGTATCACACACAGATTTACTTGGATACAATAAGTATATTAATCCTCAATCCATGTATTGCAAAAACAAAACTTGGTTCAAATGAACCCACAATTATAATGCATCAAAGTTCAACCAAATCATACAAATATATATGTGTGTGTGTGTGTGTGTGTGTGTGAATTGCAAATAACCACCCGATCTATTAGCTAGTTGCAAATAAGTCATCATTGTTGCAAATAACCCCATAAACGACGAAAAAAATGGCTGATAAGACAACTTCAGTAAACCATTAGTAATAATGTAACATGTAAAATAACTATTTTACCATATGGAAAAAGAAATAAAGAAAAGGGTAAAGTGCAGAAAAAATGACTTGAACTATTAGCATTTTGTGAATAACCCCCCAAACTATCTGAAATATGCAAATTAGTCCAAGTGAGACTACTATTACTAAGAATGAAAAATTATTATTTTGCTCAATCTTTGTTTAAATAAAAGGGTAAAAATTCAAAAAGTCAACGTTTTACAAATAACCCTTGACATTAATCTTCCAAACTATGCAAATTATAACGTAGAATTAAGTTCCTATTACTTGCAATCTAAAATTACTAATTTGTACATTCTTTTATTTAAATAAAAAATTATTTTTGTGAAATGTCAAAAGATTTATATGTTGGACAAATAGTATTAAAGCACATTCATATTCCATATTAAAGGCGCAAATGTTGTCAAAGGCACACCTGCACACAACAAGCGCAAGCGTTGCGCTTGCATGAGCCAGCTTAGGTGCGCCTTTAACAACACTGTTGACACCAGGTCATTTATGTAGTATTTTTAATACCTTAAGGGGCTATTTGTCAAAGAATAGGTTAGAGAGGTTTTCTACAATAAGAGTTAATAGTTGAAGAGTTGTTTTTTTTTTTTTTTTTTTTTTTTTTTTTTTTTTTTTTTTTTTTTTTACCTATATATATAAAGAAGGAAAAGAGCCAAACACTAGAAAAGAAAAAAAATCTTGGATCCTTCCTAAATGTGTTGACAAACAGCAATTAAAATAATTATTATATGGAAACCACATTCAAAGGCATTTTATATCCTAGCCATCCATTTCAGAAATCTAAATTGAACCAAAAAGTCTTATTTGAGGAAAGGTTCAGATCATAAAGGTCTCACAAATTCAGAACTTCAAAATTATCTTCATAATTTCCACTGAACCCAATATGCATGTTAAAAAGAAAAAAAAAAATTGTGATTCCACCTAAACTGCAAACAATTCCAAACATTGAAACAACACCCCTTTCCTTTTTTTTTCCTTTACTTCAACAATAATGGAAATGCCATACAATCAGAAATGGTAAGAACACAACTTACAGTCAAAATACATATGACTCAACTGAGTACCATCAATAGAAAAAAAGTATATTTTGATAACTCCAGAGCTACCTCAACACTCTGCTACTCACAATCAAGTTAAACCGTTAAAGGTTCATATTTAGAGAAGTTATGCATAAGTGATAAGTCACATTACTATTGTTAGAACTTAATTTCTGAAAGCAGTTGAAAAACTCTTCAAATTATATATAAAAAAATATATGCCTAATGCCTGCATCCACATATAATTACATCACCACCTTTGACACTCATTTCCTTCAGACAATAAAAAAAGATTTCTTTCTATTCAAATGCATCACAGTTTCCAACTAAAAAGCAAAAGAATAGCATAATGTTCTCTTCAATTCAATCTATAATGAAACACGTCATCTATACATGTAAATAACAGCAAATGTATACAAAGAGAACAACTCATAGCTCAATCAGCATATTGCTATAAACAAATCAAGAAGAAAAAATAAAAAAATCTAATGAAATAATAACAATACTAATTATAAAAAAAAATACCTTTATATTCGTCTTTCTCGGACACAATCCATCGATCCTTGAAATGTTCATCAAATGACTCGTAAAATATCTACAACATTAAAAACTACTTTCAGAACAATAAAGAGGTCAATTTATCTGTGTCTATATATATATATATAACGCATACATTTAAATACATTTAAACAATTACACACAGAGACATATATAAATATATATTATAGTGACTCGTACAAAATCTACAACATTAAAAAACAATCAGCCAATACAGAAAAAAAAAAAAAAAAAAAAAATATATATATATATATATATATATATATATATATATATATATATATATAAAATTATACGCAAACAAACACACACAGAGACATATACATATATGTGTGTGTATTTATGTGTATATATAGAAATGAGCTCTCTCACCACATCAGAAGAAGCGCATTGCTGAGAAACAAAGCAACCGATCAAAAGTAGCAAAACAAATTGCAGGTGAATCTTCCTCCGTTTACCTTCTTCCATCGCTAAAAGAGACTCAACAATTCCCAAATTGTTACCAAAAAATTACAATATCTGAGACATGTAATTGTGAAACCCTAACTCTAGACTGATCGATCTGTTAAAAAGAAAGTTACCAGAGATTCAAATTTCGGATCTCTGTGACTCAGTCTACACTAGAGAGAGAATAATATGATATGCGTGCGCGTATTATATATTGTTTTGGATAAGTTGTTCCAACGTCTGATATTGCGTGCCACGTGGATTCAACCATTTATATTTCGCCACGTCAGCGATCCCAATAAGTCCATACTTTACCGTGGAACTTTGTTCCATGGATCTAGCTTCTTCAATGGCTTAGATTGATCCGTGGTAGGTTGACCATAAGATTTTGACTAGTTCTTTTAATTAGCATTTTGTTCTTTATTTTTTATAATAATATATATATATATATATATATATATATATATATATATATTTTGTTAAATAAATCTGGTTCAAAAATCCGATATAATTGCTTAAAAATAATGGATTTTTTTTTTTTTTTTTTTTGAAAGGTATCATTATTATCATCTTTGTCTTAAATTTTGTCACCCAAAATTTAATTACATTTAATTAGCATGCTTTTTGTTATTTCCTCGTTGATGGGTCATTTGAAGTTATGTTTAATTCATTTCATGTATTAGTTAATTAATAAAAATAATTGTGTGAATGTTTTCAATGAAATTCCAAAGCTCAACCTTCAAATTGAGTGAAAATTTTGTTCATATTAGACTAATTTCTTTATATCTTGAAATTTAACGTTTTAAACAAATAGGTACCACGAATGATACAATTGATCGTGTTTGCGTTTGGAACGAATCTCACTTGTATAATTTATGTCAAAGCTACATACATGGTGATGTGTTATTATAAACACATGAGAAAATAAAAATATAAGAAAATATATGAGAATAAATTTAATAAAAAACTTATTCCACATGCACATAATCCTACCTTATGCAACAAAAGAGCTCCTTTAAATATTTATTTGTTTTACACTCGACACATTTTAAAATAATAATAATGATGGAGACCAAGCTAAATATTGAACTTAGTACTGCTTGGACTCAAAAATCTATCCACTAGTGGAAGAGCCGACGTGCCAGGAATTCAGAAAAATCCAAATAAAAATTCAAACGTACTATATTTTAGATGATAATTTGAGAGGATTAAACAATTGAAAGAAAGTTTGGAATGACCACTTTCAGGTTTGCCTTTGGAATAAAGGACTTCAAGAAATTTTAAATGATTGGAAAGAAAATGAATTGAAGTGCAAGACTAAGAATGTAAAGTATTAATGAAAGTGCAGAACTTGGAAAAGTAACTTGTATTAATGTAAAATATTGAAATACATTGCTGAAATGTAAAGATAAATAAAGTGTATGCCTTTGAATTCGGAATCATTTAACTCAATTTGTTGACTATTCATGAATTAAAAAGTTATTTATTTTATTTTATTTTAAATTAGCAATCATAATATTATAATTAAAGTCATGACATTTTATTATATTTACTTGAGCTATAGTTGGGGGAAAAAAAAAGATAATGACAAATATCCATGACTTTGAAAGAAAGAAAAAAATGCAAACCATCTTCTTCTTCTTCTTCTTCTTTATTTATTTATTTATTTTTTTTTTATCGGATAAGAATCAAAAAGATAAGAAGATGGCAAATACATTTAAACGGAAAGAGAAGAAGACTGGATTCAAATGATCAAAATGCTAACCATCTGTATTAGCCAAAAACGAAAGTTAAAAAAATGGCAAGGAGGTAAGAGAAAAAAAAATGTTACGAGTAAATTTGGGTTGATAAAGAGGTTAAAGCAATTAGTCATTCATGAAGATAGTAAAAATATATATATCAAAAATCACCAAAGTCTCTTCCTGTTTTTAGAAGTTAAGGACAATCTCCAGGGAATCATTGTTAAATGACCACTTTGGTAGGAAAATGATTTTTGATATCGAAAAGGCCAAAAATGACCACTTACCTAAAAGTGGAGCTTTGAGGCATGAAAAGTGATAAAAAAAAACCACTTTGACACGAAAATGGCTAAAATGACCACTTGCTTAAAAATGGGGTTTTGAGAAGAATTATGGCTAGTACGCTAATTACGTGATAACATGCTTAAATGGGACTATCTTGCATGTACATTGAAGTTCAATGCTATATGGTTTGCTTGCTAATGTGAATCCTTTGAAGATTTGTATGTAAAAGCATGTCTATTATTCTAATTGCGATTGTGTATTGATGATGGAATATATGGTTGTTCCAAGTCGTTATATGTTATCCTCATGACATTTTACATGACATGGTGTGAATGAGTAGAGCAGTGTGTGGGAAGTCGTGGGTGGAAATGAGCTTGCAAGGTTGTGGAGTAAATGTTTTTCTTAAAATGGTATTGGGAATGTATCCCTTTAACGGCGGTGCTAATTGGTTGTAAGGACGGAAGAAGGTATCCGAAGTTCGGTTAATTAATATCTTTTTGGCGTGGGTGCCTTGGAGTCGGTTGTGTGTGTGTTCTGTGGACGCATAATGTATGGCATTCATTTGATATTTGGAGCTTGTTTGTGTGCTTAATGGTTGATTGGTGAATTAAAATCCCTTGTATAATCCCCCTTCATATTTCTATGCTCTTACGTGTTATATGCCATGCTTACTCGACTTGAGAAAATGCCATTTAGGCATCCTCTATTGAGTGGTGGTGCTCATTCCTTAAACATTTTTAGGTCATGACAAAGAGGTGATCAAGTACGGACCTTCACATGTATAAGTTAGGGTTGACGAGAGCTTCATTTGTTGTCCTTGTAACCGACGCTTAATATATGTATTTCTTTTGTAAAATGATGTAATTGTGACCGTAAAAGTCTATATGTGTACTTGTATTCTTTTGGATCACTTTTAATGTATTATGAAGTATGTAAATGAATTTGACTAAATGTAATGATTTAAAGTCATAAGTTGATGCATTGAAATTATATCTCGTATTTATGCATGCTTGTTAGTTGGGACAGGGGTAAGGAGGTCAAAAATGACCCAACGGGTGTTTGGGATCACAAACGGGAAAAAAAGGGCGGAAAGCTTATTTTTGGGCTTGTTCGAGCGTTCTCTGCTCTGCTGCGAGCACTCAACGTGCGCCCTGGGGTGCCCATGACACACCCTGAGCGCTCCTAGGATGCCCACCGAGCGCTCTTAGGGTGTCCACTGAGTGCTCGGGGCGTGCGCTGGGATGCTCATGGCACCCTCCGAGGGCTCTGAGGACATCAACGGAGTGCTCCGTATTAGAATTTAGGTACTTTTTTTTGAAGGTTTTTTGTTGGCCCCGAACTTCATCGTATGGGTCCCACAGGGTATTTAAGAGGTTTAGATCATTACGGCCCCGTTAGAATGCTCAAGAAATGGCCCGGAATGAAAAATAGGTGACCACAAACCAAGTTTTTTTTTTTTTTTTTTTTCATTTACAAATGAATCTAAGTGACTAGATATGACCTAGATGGCAGTTATAAGGTCTCCAATGTGTTGCATGGTCCAAAAAGTCCAAATTACTCTTGGAACCCTAATTGGACCAATTTAAAGACGGAGTTAATTCTTTCACCATAAATGAATCAATTTGATTAGTAATGACTATTATGACCCTTAGTACATTGTATTGGTCAAAATGACCATTTTACCCCTGGATGTTCCCGAGTCGGGTAAGGACCCAGTTAGTGATTCGGACCCCCGGGTTCAGGTCGTTACACTCCCCTTAGTTTGCAAAGAAAAAAAAAAAAAAATTTTCATATTTTTTAAAATACAAAAAGATTCATTAAGGAGTTGATAAATATGATATTATCTATTTAATTAGTGTACCACTACCTAATGTATATATATCCATTCATTTTTATCTAATGTTTTCATTTAGATATTGAATTTGAAAAGGCACCCCAAGTGACATTTTCAATTAGTTATTTAAGATTTTTGTTTTATCCTTTTCTTCCTTTCTCCTTAACTACAAACCATGTTTTATTTTGTTCATAGAATTATTTATTATGTGGATATTATAAGATGAGGAAATTTGATATAGAAGCTGAATAGGCTGATTATGGATAAGATAAGATAAGGTAAGGTGATTAATATAGTTAGCGTTACAAATTCAAAAAGTAGTTTTGATATAATAAGGTGAAATTGTGATTCTCGGCAAAGGGTCTCCTCAGAAATTGCAACAAACTCCACGCTCGGCAAATTATAAAAGGAGGCGACCCACCAATCAATGAGGTACGAGCAATATTGAACTCCACTTCATTAATTGCTTACTTTATTTCTTCAGTAAACTGACTTAGCCATCGGAGGTTGTTTAGCAGGCACCTCACCAGTGTCAAGAGAAAACGTCGTCGTTTCAGATTGTTGCAGACTAATCATCATCAGTTGGCGCCATCTGTGGGAAGCAAATTAATTCTCTTTTAATAAGATTATGGTCTTACAATCTGGATTGGAACGTGGTGAGGGAACATCGTTGCAGGCCTCTGGTCAAGAAGAAATGCTAAGGGAACCCTTTCACATCCCAAATGACCTAGAGTGCGTCGCAACATTGGACCAACAAGTTCAAACACTAAATTAGGGAATAAATGAGCTGATCCAGCAAAATACGATGATCTTACAACGTTTTGTTCCCCCATGTCCCCCTCTAGGGCAAGGTTATCACCATAATGAAATCCCACCTTAAGATCATCCCAGCCTAAATGCTGATGAGGGAAATCATGAGGTGCAAAACAATGAGCCTTCCCATGAGGAGGCTCTTGCAGAGCATAGCCAAATTGCTGATCAACATAGAGATGCGGGTCACCCATCCCCCCCATGTAGCTCTAGGCTATTGACCTCGACCTACATTGGTGAAAGGATTGAGGAGGTCACTCACATCGACTTATAGATCCAGAACCTCAATGCCAAAATGGAAAATGTGATGCAAGCTATGAAAGGAAAAGGCTCTGCTACCACCATAGACAACCTTGTTCAAAACACAAATTTGCCATTTAGCCCGACTATCATGAAATGCCCATTCCCCAATAAGTTCAAGATGCCAACACTTGAGAGCTTTGATAGGACTCGTGATCCTCTTGATCACCTAGAGACTTTCTAGGCACTTATGTATCTCCAAGCTGTACCAGACCAGATAATATGTTGGGCCTTTCCTACTACTCTCAAAGGGTCGGCATGCGTGTGGTTTAATAAATTGAAATCAGGCTCGATCGAGACATTTGCAGAGTTGAGTAAGGGATTTGTAAGTCATTTCATTACAGGTCAAAGGCACAGGAGGCCGGCTACTCACTTGCTCACCGTGAAGCAACAAAAGGGAGAACCATTATGGGAGTATATCAATCGGTTAACACCGAAATGCTGCAAGTGGATGAAGCCGATGACAAGGTAGCACTCACTGCCTTCATGGGAGGACTGCATATATCTAGATTCCTTTTTTCCTTATCAAAGGAACCTCCAACTAGTATGGCAAAATTATTGGTCAAAGCTAGGAAACACATGAATGTGGATGACACTATGAGTGCACGAAAGAGGAAAGAAGGAAAAGACAGGAAGACAGATAAAAAGAGATCACAGCCTGGTGCCAAGGATGAGAAGGAGACTAAATTCAAGAAGTCTTTAATCAATCAAAGTGAGAGGACATCTCGTTACAAGAGCTCAGATAAGTACAATAACTACACCCCGCTTAATATGCTTATAGATCAGGTTTTAATGCAGATTCAGGATGATCCCTCCCTAAAGTGGCCGTCAAAGCTGAAATTTAATCCCTCAAGAAGGCCTCGGGATAAATATTGCAGGTTCCACAGAGATCGTGGGCATACCACGGAGGATTGTATCGACCTAAAAGATCAGATTGATAATTTGATTTGAAGGGGTCACCTGCGAAAGTTCATGGCAGGAGATGATAGACGAGGTACTAATCCCACAAGGAAGGCGGGACAATCATCCTCCAGAATAACAACTAGTAGGTGAGATCAGAGTTATATCCGGAGGGTATATAGGAGGAGGTGAAACAGCCACGGCCCGAAAAACATACGTAAGAAGAGTAAGAGCAAAGGTGAATGAGGTAGGAATGTTCAACCCACAATAAAAAACACTCAGGTGTGGTGACACTACCATTATATTTTCAGAGGCCAATGCCAAAGGGATCCAGCAACCCCACGATGATCCTCTGGTTGTCTACATAGTTATAGCTAACTACACCATAAGGCGTATACTTATTGACAATGGGAGTTCCACTGATATTATATTTTCTAATGTATTCGACCAAATAATAATAGGCTGGGAAAGGTTATGACCCATGAATTCTCCTCTCATGGTTTCAGGAGATAAAATATATCTACTTGGAGTAGTTACACTTCCAGTGACTGCAAGAACTAGCCCAAAGCAGGTCACTTTTATGACCTCGGCGTATAATGTTATCCTTGGGAGGACAACCTTAAACTTTATTAGGGCCATTACCTCAACTTACCACTTCCTCATGCGTTTCCCAACAGAGCAAGGGGTAAGTGAATTAAGGGGTGACCAAGCTACAGCTCGTGAATGCTATCTTGCTTCTCTCAGAGAAAAGATGTCCCAGGAAACTCTGATAATTGAAGGGTTAGACCGAGAGGAGGTAAAAAAATAAGAAGTTCGATGAGCAGAACCGATGGAAGACCTACTAGAGGTGAGATTGGATGATGGGGCTAAGAAGAAAGTGAGCATAGGATCTTTGCTTCAACCTGGCAATAAAGGTGAACTCATTCAATTTCTCAAGCAAAACTAGGATGTGTTTGCCTAGACTCACGAGGACACGCCCGGCATAAGTCCGGCTATAATACAACATCGTTTGAATGTTCATCCCAACTTTAAACCCATTAGACAAAAAAGAAGGACATTCGTCTCTGAACGAAACCAGATCATATCAGAAGAGGTGGAAAAACTCTTGAAAGCTCACTTCATTCAGGAGGTACATTGTCCTAACTGGTTGTCGAATATGGTCCTCGTAAAGAAAGCCAATGGTAAGTGGACGTTATGCGTAGACTTTACAGAGTTGAACAAAGCTTGCCCAAAGAATAGTTTTCCTTTTCCATGTATTGATATACTGGTGGAGGAAACTGCCGGGCACGAACTGCTGAGCTTCATGGACGCATACTCCGGATACAACCAAATTCCAATGTACCCCCCAGACATAGAAAAAACCTCATTTGTTACTGATCAGGGTTTGTATTGTTACATGGTCATTTCATTTAGGCTAAAAAATGTGGGAGCAACATACTAAAGGCTAGTTAACATAATGTTCAAGCACCAAATCAGACCAAACATGGAAGTCTACGTGGATAACATGCTGGTGAAAAGTTGGAAAGCTGAAGATCACCTGGCAGACCTGCGGGAAACCTTTGAAGTATTGAGGAGCATAAAATGAAACTCAACCTCAGCAAGTGTGCTTTCGGAGTTGCCTCAGGGAAATTTCTGGGGTATACGGTGAGTAGAAGAGGAATAGAGGCTAATCCAAAAAAAATCTAAGCAGTTCTGGATATGAGGTCACCCAGATCTATGAAGAACCTCCAGTGACTCACAGGGAAGATTGCTGCCCTAAACAGGCTAATCTCTTGAGCAATCGACAGATGTTTAACTTTCTTTCGTATCCTCAAAAAAGCATTCGAATAGACACCAGAATATGAGCAGGCATTTCTATAACTAAAGGAATACCTCTCTTCACCGCCACTTCTATACAGAGTAATACTGGGAGAGGACTTGTATTTGTACTTGGCTGTCTCCTCATCAACAGTAAGTTCAACTTTAATCCGAGAGGAGGATGGGGTTCAGAAGCCAGTGTATTACATAAGTCAGGCACTTAGGGGTGCCAAGGAAAGATATCCAACAATGGAGAAATTGGGATTTTCTTTAGTTTTGTTCGCCAGAAAACTTAGGCCTTATTTCCAAGCTCACAGAATAGTGGTACTAACAGACCAACCCCTAAGGCAGGTTTTCCATAAGCAAGAGACTTCAGGACGACTTATGAAATGGTCAATAGAACTTGGGAAGTTCGACATCCAGTATAGACCCCGAATTGCAATAAAAGCTCAGGTGGTAGAAGATTTTGTTGCCGAGTTCACACCTTCACAAGAAGACCATGCTAACATCTGCACAGAAGTGACACCTCATATTCAGAGAAACAAAGAAACTACTCGGACTTTGTTTGTTGATGGATCATCAACTGCGCATGCTAGTGGAGTAGGGTTGATCATAATCTCCCCAGAAGGAGAAAACATTGCCTATGCCCTTCGATTTGGCTTCAAAGTAACGAATAACAAGGCAGAATATGAAGCCCTCATAGCTGGGTTGAAACTGGCAAAAGTCATTGGGGTGGAACAACTCATACCATACACAGATTCTCAGTTGATAGCAGGGCAGGTCTGAGCCGAATATGAATCCAAAGATGAGAAAATGAAGGCCTACCTAAAAGAGGTAGAAGAATTAAAAAATCATTTTACGAGATTTTTAGTCCATCAAATCCCACGAGAAGAAATTGCGAATGTAGATGCTCTAGCTAGATTGGCTACCGTGTTGAGTACTTGGATAAGCCAAGTATACTTCAAGAAGTTCAAAAGGAGGTACAATAGATAGTATTCAACATGGAATGGGCAGAACCTATTATAAAATACATTAAAGAGGGAGAACTTTCTGAGGACAGAAATGAGGCCCAAAAAGTTAAAATTCTAGCAGTAAGGTACACTCTCATCAAAGGGGTACTGTATAAGAGGGGTTTTTCTTTACCATACCTGTGTTGTGTTTCAACTGAGGAGGCAAGGTACATTCTAAAGGAGATATATGAAGGAGATTGTGGTAATCACACTGGGGGCAGGTCGCACACAAAACTATCCGACAAGGGTATTATTGGCCTACTATACAAAAGGATGCTACGGACTATGTGAAAAAATGTGATAAATGTCAATGGTTTGCCAATGTTCCAAAACAACCACCTGAAGAGGTAACTCCCATGATGGGTCTGTGGCCTTTCGCACAATGGGGAATGAACATTATAGGTCCATTACCCATGGGAAAGGGCCAGGTCCAGTATGCTATAGTGGCTATAGACTACTTCACCAAATGGATAGAAGCTAAGCCACTAGCAAGTATTGCTGAGACGAACATAAGAAATTTTGCTTGGAGGTCAATCATTTGCAGGTTTGGAATCCCAAGAGTGTTTGTCACAGATAATGGAAAGCAATTCGATAACATGAAGTTTAAGGACTTTTGTGCTCAACTAGGGATAAAGAACCATTACTTGTCACCTAGACACCCTCAGGCAAATGGTCAAGTTGAGGTGGCGAATAGATCGATATTTCAGATGATAGAGAAGAAGCTTAAGGATAAGAAGGGAACATGGCCTGAAGAGTTGCCCAGCATGTTGTGGGCTTACCGTACAATGGCAAGAACCCCTACAAGGGAAACCCCATTCCTACTGACCTTTGGAAGTGAAGCAGTTGTTCTTACTGAAGTTTGAGTAACCAGTTTCAGGACTGAACATTACGAGCCACGAGCAAATGAGAGAGAGTTGTTATTGAGCTTAGACTTGATTGAAGAAAGACGGGAATAGTCTCAAATTTGAATGGCAGCTTATCAACAGATGGTGTCTAGATACTATAATGCCAAGGTCAAGCAAAGAAGATTTCAACCTGGAGACTTAGTGCTTTGCAAAGTCACCCCAACAACTAGAACCAGAAGAGAAGGGACGTTGTCCCCTAATTGGGAAGGACTTTATAAGGTTATTAGCACCAACAAACTGGGGGCATACTGGCTTGAAACTTTGGGAGGGCGTCAGTGGACCATCCTTGGAATGTTGAACATTTAAGGAGGTACTACTAGTAAAAGATTTGTGTGCCTTATTTTATTTTCTCAATAAAAGAGCTAGCTAGCTTGATAGTTTAGCTTTATCTCCCTGAAAGAATTATGTTCTCTATGATTGATTTTACTTTTCAATAAAAAAGACTAATATGTCTTCCTCTGATGATGTTCATTATGATGATGTTTTAGTAAAATGGATTGATTCTTCAATAAAACTATGATATCATAATTTCTCTTTGGTAGTCTCTTTTGCTACTGCAAATACATCGAAGAAATGAGCACAAAATGCTTAGTAAAAAGCAAAATTAGGCTACTCTACCCCCTTATTAAAGGGTAAGCTGAGTGAAGCTCATAAAACTCCATCCCTTATTAAAGGGCGAGCTGGGTGAAGCTCATAAAACTCATTTTGTATACATAGATGTATATAGATGATGCCTACTTCAATATTAAAAAGAAAGAAAGGGGCAAAAAAAGCAAGTTCAAACAACACCATTTATTATAAAAGGAGTGCAGATCTATTATTAGAAGAACGAAAAAATCCGACTAAAAACTACTCTACTAGGAGAACGAAGAAAAAATAAATAAATAATAATTTTTGGAGCTAGTCATCAGCTTCATTATCGCTCTCCAACTGAATCGAAGAAAAGTTTATATCTGGAAAATTAGAAATGACTTGAGCTCGAAAAACTTCGAAACCATCTATATACATCCTTGCTTGGGTTACTTTGAAGTTATTGGAAGATTTGTATTCTTCAACCGCAGATGACCTAGTTAGTGCCATCTCTTTGGTAAGTCCCTCTACTTGAGATTTAAGATTTTTAGCCCTAGTATGCTCCTCTTGAAAAATAGCTTTAGCTTTAACCCGAGCATCTCTTTCGGCAATGAGTTCAGTAGTGGCAGCATCAATCTGACCTTGATGCTTGGTGAGAAAAAAGCTATTTCGTCATGACATGATTTTTCCACTTCTACAGCTCAGGAGGATAAGTAAGCAACTCGAGTAATGCACTGCATGAATGAAGGTTACAAGTTTGAGCAAATATATAATACAAACCAATCAAGTGGTTAAAAGAATCAAATCATAACCTTGCCAAGATCATGCAAGAGTGTTTTGGCCACCTCAGATGAAGCATGAGAATTCAACCGTACTAGATCATCTTTCACTAAAAACTCCTTTATTCATTCAAATGAAAAGTTTTGATTGTCTAAGACTGATGTGCCAAAAGCAAAAGGATCCAGAACAGGATTGGCATCACCAATCTGTGCAGAAGCGTGCTCGCTAGCAACGACTGAACTTACATGGTGGGGTGGAGGCTGAGAAGGCGAACAGACGACACTAGACTTTGGTATATGCTCATTTATCATAGCTTCAGAAACACGCTTCTTTTTAGGAGGGGTAATAAGCGGGATATCAGTTGATTCCCGAGCTAGATCGAGAATTTTCTTGTTAAAATTTTCCGATATACCTAAATATATATAATTATTAGCATGATACACACACACACACACACACACACACACACACACACACACATAAATGAGTAAAAAGGGCAAATACCTGCTTTGGTGGGAGAATGTTTGGCCGTAGGATGAGGACCTAGCCCATGAATGAATAGAGCTTGGGCAGTTACTAAAGTTGAGAAGTCAACTGGATGGTCAATGGCATTCACTATCTTCTGGCATTCATACGATGAAAGGTCAAGTTGTTATTTGAAGTCTGAAAAGGTAACAAGACATTTTTGTCAAAAATTCAAAATTCAATATGTATACATGTATGTTATAAATCATCAAACTCACCATAAGGGTTCGTATCACTCCACACTCGAGGGATTGGCCTCCCTCCTCCAAAAAATATTGTCTCGTTGGAAGAGAATTCCTAGTTGTCACCTGAGACCAAAAAAAAAAAAGCGATCCTTCCAATTTTTGTTATGGAAAGGGTTCCCAGTAATAAGTGTTTTCTTTTTGTCCCTAATTGAAAAGTACCACCAATCACCCATCTTCTTTGGAACATAACAGTAAAGGAATTGGTCCACGGTTAGCAAATCATTACCACAAGCCCGCCAAAGAACCATGTAGCCTACCATCGTCCTCCAGGCATTGGAGGAAAGTTGAGTAGGGCCAATATTAAGATAGTTGAGTATCTCTCTGATAAAAATGGGTATGGGAAAGCGTAGACCAGACAAAAAGGCAAATTCATAAAAGCAGACCTCACCTGGATTAAGGGTCCAAGCCCTTTTTTCGGGAGAAGGAAGTCATAGGAAAACATTGTCTGGGATTGAGTATGATAGTTTAAAGCATTCTAAATCATCCAAAGAAAGTGAGCATTTTTATGTTATGCACTTTTTGCGTAGTATTTTTTATGCAAAGGAGGCGAACCATACTTGGATTCAGAGCTTTGTTGGCTAGACTCACTATCTGTGTTGTCTTCATGAGAGGATGATAAGCGCCAAATATTGCATATTTAAGCACCCTTGTTTGCATTAGTTTAGTCCATTATTTTATCATATTGCATATTCTAGCTTCATTTGCATGCTTTTATTTATTTTCAGGTTGGTTCACTAAAGAGAGTTAAAAGAGATGCTTTGACGAGTTCTTAAAGAATCAAAGCATGCCGTTGCCAGGGGCCTTCATTTTGGCCAAGATTAATGATCCATGGGACTTATGACACTCTATGCAAAAATTTCTAGGAAGAATTGTCACGTCTTCAGGCAGAGCCAAATCATTTCAGGTTGCAAGTAGCAAATTGGTGCAAGGCTGTAATAGCACGGGCGCCGGTTCATTTTCCATCAGACTTTGGTCTCCATTTCTGACCCTTTGTATGTGCGAATTTGGTCTTTAGTAAAACATGAAATATGAAGGGCTATGAGTCATCTTTCCACAGACATAAAGTTTGCCTCATTTGGAGTTTGGAGCAAAGAGTTATGTCATTTTTACCAAAGGTGCGCAGAACAGCCTGGCAGCAGTGAAGTTCGACTTTGCTCTTCATTTTAGACCCACAAAACTTAAGAACTGGACTTCTATTAAAACATTGCATACTTAGAGCTTTGAATTACCTTTCCAAATCTTTAAACGGTTTGTCATTTGGAGTTTGGAGCAAAAAGTTATGACCATTTTACCAAAGTAACTTAGAGCTGAACAAGTTGACTTCGAGCACTCGAAGGGCTTATTTCGAGCGCTCGAAAATTGGGTAGAATGCTCTCCGGGAACCATCATTTCAGCCCACTTGCACCTTGATTCCCTCATTTCTGATTTCCATCTGTATGGGTTGGTTGGAGATGTCTTTTGGTGGGAGGAGAGCCTCATTTGGTAGGGGTTTGGTAGGATAATGGGTACAAGGTGAGGGGAACCACACACATAGATATCATATCTCATTCTTGCTAGATTTTAGAGAGAGAAAGAGGATGAGAAGATAGAGTTCTTGTGGCCAAGGAAAGGGAGCTCGAAAATGGAGGTTGCATCCAAGCTTCTTCTTTCTTCTAAAGCTCCCATGGGTAACTAAACCTCCATCTAGGGAGGTGATGAGGCCCCTCCCTTTTAAGCATGTTCTAATTTAGGTTATATTTTGGGGCAACAATGTATATTTTTGGTCTTTCCATGATCTAGAGCCCTCTATTTGTTGTAATGGATTTTAAATGTTTATAAATGGTTATTTTGAGTTATTCATCTTGTCTTAGATGGTTACTTTTCCTAATCATATTGCTTGCACTTTCATAATGACAATGGAAGTTAGATCATGGAATGGTTTTAATGGCATGGAGTTAGAGAACCTAGATAGTTCATTGCTTAGGGTTCCCCTTTGATGGTCTATGCTTGATTCTTAGCTTCTTGTGCATTTATCATTTAATTTAGGGCTTGATAATCCTTGACTTAGTAAGCATGTTCTAGGCTACATTTTAGTTTAGGTAGTTGATCATGTGAATCTTTGATGGTTTATTCTTGCCTTTTTATTTAATGAACTTCTTGAGGATATTATAGCAACCAAGTGTTGCTATGTATCATGACCATAATATATGTTGTTTTTCCCTTAAATTAATCAGAACCTAGCATGTGTATAGGGATGGAGCCGGATTCACTTCCCTAGTCCTCTTTACTTGTATTTCATCTCCTTTAAATTCTTGCAAGCTTTTATTTTATGCATCTTAATTTCATAACTTAAGTGATAACTAACAAATCCTCTATGAACACCCCGTACCATTCTAAAAAGACTCTAGACACTTAGGTTGCCATAGATTAGCGCAGTCCTAGTGGTTCGACTTACCCAACCAATAGCCCTATTTTACAATGATTCGTGCTATTGCGAAGGTTGATTTATTATAGATCGAATTCTCAACCGATCAATTTTTGGCGCTGTTGCCGAGGACTGCAAACGGTTTAGCAACCGAAGTTCTAGGGTTAACTTTGGTTTGATTGTTAATATTGTGATTTATGAATATTTCTTGTGTGGTTTTGACAATTCTGTTGTTGTAAGTTGTATGAGATTCTAGGAACTCGGGGCTCATTGAGGGAACGCTAGCAAATTTGTAAGTTTAGGGGACTCCAGGTAATTTCTTGACCTTTTAGTTTCGACATTGTGAATATTGTGCATGTGTTAAACTTAGTGATAATTTAGTTTTGAAGCCCTTGTTGAGGCTATTATCTTGTTTAAATTTCGTGTCAAGCATC